CAGCGTCCTGTGTGGAGAGGGACGGGCTTTTTTTCTTGCACCAAGTGGAAATGCACCACCGCAGCCCACAGCACAGAACGCTCATGAAAGAGAACAAAATTCAGCCAATGTACATTACTTTTTCCACGGTCTGTCTGGAACATTGTATTTGCCCCAAGGCCTTTCGAGAAAGGTTAGGTCAACAACTGGCCGAGTTCATGAAGTTTAGAGTGACAGGAAACTTTTATTTCCTAATAGACTGCCTGAATCCTGACTCTTCGTAATGTGGATAAATGTTACAAACACAAAAGCTCATTGCTATTAAAATAAAAAGAGAGAAACTATAATTTTGGAATGAATTTAACATCAACAGTTAGAGTGGAAATACTTTCATTAGCAATAAGTACTTTAAAGTTGTACCCAACTTTATTTGTGTTTGGTGTAAAATTTTGGCCACATCACTCAGAAGTGTCGCATTTTAATTCATCATCTATTACAGTAATCTGAGCCTGTTAGTTGGAAGAAAAGGCACTCACTGTAACATTAAAGGGGCAATAATGTGTTTTTCAGGCATATATTTAAATTTTATACCACATTAAAAGTAACTATGCCACCTTCAGTTGTTATTAAAATGTTGTTTATATGTTTAAATAGAAATTAAACCTGACTTCTCATTATAACTGTTTCTAAAACACCTTGAAATTGTCCTCTGTCTCTTTAAGAACCTCCTTCCACTTCTGTCCTGCCCATTTCAGTGATGAGGAAGCTCGGYTTGGAGACAGCCCAGAGGAGGAATATAACACTCAAAAAAGTTGATTTTACATGGTATTGCCCCTTTGTTACATCAGGTTACAATTTTGTTGTAAAGTCAGTGTTCTCTGTTGTCTGTTTTTTAACACTCAACTTTAACATAACATACAAATAAATATCAGATTTATTAAAAATATATTCAAAAGGTAAAATGTTGCAACAAAAATTGCATAGTGATGCACTGTTTAGGTGCTCAAGTGCGCCCACTGAGCCAGAAATAACATTTTTGCACTATTTAATCTTTTATGTCTGTAATACTACAGTGTGAACTTTATATGTTTTCCTGTTTGTTTTGCATGAAGTACATGGTGGAGCAGTGGTGAGAGCTGTTGCCTCACAGCAGGAGGTTGCAGGTTTGATGCACCAGAGGTCCTTTTGTGTGGAGCTGGACTGTTTTCACTTCTTATGTGTAAGTTTCCTCTCACAAGCCGTGTTTCCATCAATGGGTTTTATGCACATTTTGAAGGATCACATTAGAAAATGTGAATGGAAATGGCAAAATTTGCAAAAACTTCTTCAATTTTACAAAAAAAAAAGTTACACTTGCCCCAGATGGTTTTTGGATTTTTTTGAAAAAAATTAATGTGCAACAGGGGAGATGGAAACATTTGCTGAAAAGGTTCTGGGGTCTCATTTATAAAGGATTGCATAGAAACCATACTAAAAGTGAACGTACGGCCAAAAGGCGGAAATGGCGTACACCAAAAAAAATTTTCAGATTTATAATACAGTGCGTACGCATGTTTCTGCGCACCTTTCTTTTATAAATCACAGCCGCACGTCAGAGTTTGAGCACAAGGTCCCGCCTCAGGTTCTACCCTCTACACGCCCACACTCAACCATAAACAGTCAATGTAAAGTACCTCATGAATGTTAAGATGTATTTAAGTCAGTCAGCTGATCAATGCCAACAAAAGCAATTGGTTCAGACACGCTCCGTCATGCGTCTGGAGGTTGACAGGTGCTGACTGACAACTGCTCACATGAACAGAATGTCTGTAAT